AGTGGCAGTTTACCAACTGTGCCAAATGCCTGCCTGTATTCAGAGCACTTTTAAACTATCCACATCAAAACTCTTTGAAATATAAATGTCATATTGCTACTTCTTCCTAATAAGAATAAGTGGAACAGCAGACTCATAGTAGGACAAATGCCCTAAATAGCACTCTGACCTCAGAATCAGCCCTTAAGGCATTCGGATCTGGCAGAAAAGCCCAGGTGAGCATTTCACGCATGGAAAGCCAAGACATTGTGGAAAAAAATAACCTACATGAAGGATCTCTGTGAGTGAGACCCCAGTAGAAAGAAGGGGCTATCAAAGAAGGATGTATTTTTCTCTGAAGGAAGGAGAGAACTTCCACTTTGCATATGGCCCTATATGAATACCAGTGGCGTTTGTGGACTCAAAAGGCTTCCATAGCCTTGGCAGCTCATATCAAGAGCCTCGGGTGGTCACTGACATCAAAAATAAGAATGCTGGGGCTGGCGCTGCAGCTCAATAGGCTAATCCTCCGCCTGCGGCGCAGGCACACCGGGTTCTAGTCCTGGTCGGGGCACCAGATTCTGTCCCGGTTGCTCCTTTTCCAGTCCAGCTCTCTGCTGAGGCCCAGGAGCGCAGTGGAGGATGGCCCAAGTGCTTGGGCCCTGCACCCGCATGGGAGACCAGGAGAAGCACCTGGCTCCTGGCTTTGGATCAGTGTGGTGCGCCGGCCGCAGCCCGCCGGCTGTAGCGGCCATTGGAGGGTGAACCAACAGAAAAAAGGAAGACCTTTCTCTCTGTCTCTCTCACTGTCCACTCTGCCTGTCAATAAAAAAAAAAAAAAAAAAATTAGTGCTGGGGCCAGCACTGTGGCATAGCAGGTGGAGCTGTACTGCAGTACAGGCATCCCATATGGGCGCCAGTTGAAGTCCTGGCTGCTCCACTTCAAATCAAGCTCTCTGCTGTGGCCTGGGAAAGCAGTGCAAGATGGCCCAAGTCCTTGGGCCCATGCACCCACATAGGATACCCAGAGGAATCTCCTGGCTTCAGATTGGCGCAACTCCAGCTGTTGCAGCCATCTGGGGAGTGAACCAGTGGATGGAAGACCTCTTTCTCTCTGCCTCTCCTTCTTTCTGTGTAACTCTGACTTTCAAGTAAATAATAAATAAATCTTTTTTTAAAAAATAGTGTTAATTGTTAAATCAACAACAGGAGTCACTGTGCACTTTCTCCCTATATTGGACCTCAGTCCTTAATGAGGTATACTATGAGAATTAATGGTAAAACCTGTTTTCACACAGTACTTTATACTTTGTCTATGTGGGTGCAAACAGTGAAAATCTCTACTTAGTAAAGAGTTGGTCTTCTGTATATAAGGTGAATTAAAAACAAATTTTAATGAAAAATGGAATGGGAGAGGGAGTAGGAGGTGGGATGGGAGTAGTGGTGGGAGGGCAGGAATAGGGGGAAGAAGCAGTATATTCTGAAAAGCTGTACATATAACATTTTTATTCATTAAATAAAAACCTCAAAAAAAAAAAGAGTAAGTGGAAACCAGAATCCATTAATAGGTAGCTGTAATCTTTTTAGAACTTTGAAACGCAAAGTTAATGCCTCTGTTTTCAATGAGAGATAAAAAGTTAATCTCAGGGGCCTGTGCTGCGGCGTAGCAGGTTAAGCTGGCACCTGATGTGCTGGCATCCCATAGGGGCACCAGTTCGAGACCTGGTTGCTCCACTTCCAATCCAGCTCTCTGCTGTGGCCTGGGAAAGCAGTAGAAGATGGCCTAATGCTGTGGCGCAGCGGGTTAATGCCCTGGCCTGAAGCGCTGGCATCCCATATGGGCGCAGGTTCCAGACCTGGCAGCTCCACTTCTGATCCAGCTCTCTGCTATGGCCTGGGAAATCAGTAGAAGATGGCCCAAGTCCTTGGACCCCTACACCCGCACGGGAGACCTGGAGGAAGCTCCTGGCTCGGATCAGCACAGCTCTGCCCTGTTGCAGCCAATTGGAGAGTGAACCATTGGATGGAAGACTCTCTCTCTCTCTCTCTCTCTCTCTCTCTGTCCTCTCTCTTTCAAATAAATAAATAAATCTTAAAAAAAAAAAAAAAAAGAAAAAAGAAGATGGCCTAAGTCCTTGGGTCCCTGAACCCATGTGAGAGACACGGAAGAAGTTCTTAGATCCAGGCTTTGGATCGGCACAGCCGCAGCCATTGTGGCCAATTGGGGAGTGAACCATCAGATGGAAGAACCTCTCTCGCTCTCTCTCTGCCTCTTCTTCTCTCTCTGTGTAACTCTGACTTTCAAATAAATAAATATTTTTTAAAAAAAGTTAATCTCAGAATTAGCATATTTGAAGTATAATATATACTAGGCTTTCTGCTAAGTGTGTGTACTTATTACCTCATTTATCCTTCAAAGAACCCTGTGAAATAAGTTACTAATCCATTTTATAGCTGAGAAAACTAACCTTCGGAGGGGAAAACAACTTGTTCAAAGCCATACAAGTGGAACCTGGGTTTATTTTATTTTACTTTATTTTTATTTGACAGGCAAAGTTCGAGAGGGAGACAGAGAGAAAAGTCTTCCTTCCATTGGTTCACCCCCCAAATGGCCACCACGGCTGGCGCACAACGCCATTCTGAAGCCAGGAGCCAGGTGCCTCCTCCTGGTCTCCCATGTGGGTGCAGGGGCCCAAGCACTTGGGCCATCCTCCACTGCCTTCCCGGGCCACAGCAGAGAGCTGGACTGGAAGAGGAGCAACCGGGACCAGAACCCGGTGCCCATATGGATTGCTGGCGCCGCAGGCGGAGGATTAACCTAGTGAGCCATGGTGCCGGCCCCAAAACCTGGGTTTAAACCCAAGTTGGAGGGCTGGTATTGTGCTGCAGTGGATTAAGCCTCTGCTTGGTATGCTTAAATCCCATATTGGTGTGGCAGATGGAGTCCCAGCTACTCTACTTCTGATACAGCTTCATGCTAATGTGCTTGGAATGTAGCAGAAGGTAGTCCAAGTACTTGGGCCCCTACCACTGATGTGGGAGACCTGGATAGAGTTGTGGCTGCTGGCTTCAGCCTGGCCCAGACCTAGCTGATGCGGGCATTTCAGGAGTGAACCAGTGGTTGGAAGATTGATCTCTTTCTCTCTCCCTCTATCCTTCCTCCCTCCCTCTTCACTTTGTCACTCTGCCTTTCAAATAAATAATTTTTATATTAAGTAAATAAACTCAAGTCTGATTTCAAAGCCTTTGTTCTTTCTACCATGCTAACTTGTCCTCACTAAAAAGGCTGTCAATGACCATTACAGTATCATAGGACACATTTTTGCATGTAGTTGGAATTTGGGGAGAAATTCTTCTCAGTCATCAGCATGGACTCACTAAAACCAAGTCATGTGCTTCCTTTTTGGTTCTGGTGGATTGATTAATGGCCTGTAGTAGCAGACCAAGCCTCCTGCCAAAAACAACTAGAAAAGCAGAATGAACAGAAAAATCATCTGTTTGAGTGTATTGCAAAGGACCAAGGTAGCCAGGACTTGGAGGGCTTGTGTTCCATTGAGGAAACTGCAAACAGTGAGTGCAGCAATCCAAACTGCATTCTCCTGAAGCATTTATCAGTCTGTAAGTGACACAAGCTGAGAGGCCAGGAAGCAGAGCAGAAGCTGGCTGTTCAGAGGCCAAGGAGGTAAACAGAGCTGTTTTGGTAGTCTTAGGTTACTGGGCAAGTAAAAACTTGAGCCCAACCAAAGTAACAAAGCTCTGGTTAAAGGACATGGCATTCTGGTGGGGCTTCTGAAGGACGGCGCTCGCTCGAGGAATGAAGGTAGGTCAGATTTAGACCGGTCGCATGAAGGCTGAACCCGCCTTCCATTTAGCTCACTCCCTAATTAGATTAAAGTGATGGATTCTAGTTCCTTATCAAACGTTTAAAGAAATCTTTTCTGGAAGAAAATAGCCTCATCCAGAGTGCTGTAATTTTTCTATTGTTTAATCAAAAATGACCAAGTACAGTAAGATTTAAAAATAGGTAATAAAAAGAGATTTACAAGTTACTGAGATATTGGAATTAGTCATATTTGGACAAGATAAGTGTCATCAATGATTAAAATAGATGGTAAGAGAATTTTGCCATAGAATAGAATATATGAAAATGAATCATGAATACTCTAGAATGGAAAACATAATAAAAATATAATAGATAAATTTTTCAGCAGATTACATAGAGCTGAAGAGGAAATTAATTACCTGGAAGATAAGGTCTGTAAAAAAATACCTAGACTGAAATTTGGAGAGAGAATAGAAAACATGAAGAGAACCCATAGATCTGTGAGGCACAATAGAAAGATCTAACATGAGAGATCTTCAAAAAGTTCAAACAAAATGTGTATTATGAAAAACTATTGATGGATTTAAAAAATTTTTGCACCAAAATAAGCTGTAAAGACTATATTTACTTATTTTGGGGAGTGGGGAGGAGAGAGAGAGAATGCATGTGCGTGTGCTGTTTCATCGACTGGTTCATTCCTCAAATGTTCACAACTGCTGGAACGGAATCGGGCAGAAGTCAGGAACCAAGAACTCAAACCAGGTCTCCAAAGTGGGTGGCAGGAACCTAATTACTTGAACCATCACCTCTGCCTCCCAGGGTCTACATTAACAGGAAGCTGGAGGCAGGAGCCGAAGCTGAATATTGAACCCAGGTATTTCCATATGGGATGTCTTAACTGCTAGGCTAAACACTCACTCCTAAACTTATCTTTTCATTTCATTTTCCCACAAGCTTTTTAAAGTACCTTATATCTACTAGTGGAGTTACAGAATGGGAGAAGGGATGATAAGGTAGCGGTGATATTTGAAGAAATACTAAAAATATTTTCAGAATTTATTAAAGTTTTTTGACTCAAGAGGCTCTATAAAGCCAAACAGGATACATTCAAAGAAAAACGTAGACTGTAATAAAACTGCTGAAACCAAAAAACAAAGGTTATTAAAGAACAGTAAAATGGAAACTGATTTCTTAACAGAGATGATGGAATCCAGAAGACAGTAGAAAGGTATCCATATAGTACTGAAAGAAAACGGCTGCCAACATGGAATTCTATACTAGGAAGAAATGTCTTTCAGAAATGAAGGCAAAATAAAGACATTTCCAAGCAAGTAAAAATTGATAGAATTTGTTGCCAGAAGACCTGCATTATAGAAAAGAGAAAAAGGCAGAAGGATTATGACCTTCAACAGTATCATGGAATATAAGAAGGAATAAATAACAGTGAAAAAAAGGTACATATGTATATAGACTGTGTAAACTATAATCATAATGTCCTGTGGATTTAAAATGTATGTTGAGGGGGCTGGCATTGAGGCACAGCAGGTTAAGTCTCTGTGCTGCTGCATCCCATGAGTGCTGGTTTGAGTGCTGGCTGCTCCCCTTGTGATCCTGCTCCCTGCTAATACCCCTGGGAAGGCAAAGAAGATGGCTCAAGGTCTTGGGCCCCTTCCACCCAGCTAGGAGACCCAGATAGAGTTCCTGCTCCTGTCTTTGGCATTACCCAGACCTGGCTGTTGTGGTCTTTTGGGGAGTAAATCAGCAGATTGAAGATGTCTCTCTTTCTGTCTCTCCCTCTCTTCCTGTTACTCTGCCTTTCAAATAATAATTTATTTTTTAAAAAAGACCCCTCAGAAGATTTTCTTTAGAACTGTATTTATCTATATAGCTTCAAAATATATAAAGCAAAAATTATATAATTAAAAGAAGAAATAGACAAATTTGGGATCATAATGGGAGATTTCAAGCATATCTCTCTTAGCCAATGATGGAACAAACAGACCAAAAACAGCAACAAGGATATAAAAAATTTGAACAAATCATTAGCAGATATAGCCTGAGTGTCATATATAGAATGCTGCGCCTATAAATGTTAACATGTACATGTGCATTCTTTTTAAGTGGAACAGTTAACCATGTTGACCATATGATGGGCCAGCACGTTTTATTTATTTTAAGATGTTTATTTTTAAATGTTTATCCAATTAAAAGGCAGAGCACGAGAGAGAGAGATTCCATCTACTAGTTCACTTCCTAGGTAAGTAACAGCCAGGGCTAGTTTAGGCCCAAGCTAGAAGCCAGGAACTCCATCTGGGTCTCCCATGTGGATGGCAGGGAGCCACATATGTGGACCACCATCTGCTGCCTTCCTAGCACATTAGTGGAAGCTGGATTGAAAGTGCAGAGTGGGAGGGACTTGAACTGGCACTTCAGTATGAGAAGTAGGCGTCCCAAGTAGCAGTTTAACCTGTGGTGCCACAACACCTCCTCCCCTACACCTTTCAAATAATTGAATTATATTTTCTGTGACCACAGAGGAGTTCAGCTAGAAACATATCTTAAGAACACAAAAAAGAACTTCCAAATATTTGGAAATTAAACATTGTGTATTGTAAAGTAGTCACAGTTAAAGAAGAAATGTCATGGAAGCTAGAATATATTTTCCACTGAATGATATTGAAAAATAGCATATCAAAGCATGTGTGATGGAGCTAAAGTCAAACTCAAGAAAATTGATTTCTTTAAATAATAAAGAATTGTGAATTACTTTGTGTCATTAAGATTGACATTTTAGTTGTGATGGACAAATTCCTGGAAAAAATCTAAACCAACAGGGAAAATATAGCAAATTTGAATAGTGTTTTGTCTGTGAGAGAAATTGAATCTGTAATGAAGCATCTTTCAAAGAAAACTCAGGCTGAGATGACTTCCCAGGGAGTGAATTTGTCCCAAATCTTTGAAGAGGAAATAGCATTAATTTTATACAAACTCACAGGGATCAGAAGAAAACATTTCCCAGTTCATTTTATTAGAAATCTTGGTCTATTAAGGAGTTCCCCGGCTCTTTTTTTTTAAAGAAATAATTTGTAAAGATTTATTTTTTTAAAGAATTGTTATTTGTGAGGTAGCGTTAAAGATAGATGGAGAGACAGAGAGAAAGGTCTTCCATCTGTTGGTTCACTTCCTACATGGCGGCAACAGCTGGAGCTGGGCTGATCTGAGGCCAGGAGTCAGGAGCTTCTGCCAAGTCTCCCACATGGTTGCAGAGGCCTAAGCGTTTGCGCCATCTTCTGCTGCTTTTCTAGGCCATAGCAGAAAGTTGCATTGGAAGAGGAACAGCTGGGACTAGAACCGGTGCCTATATGGGATGCCAGTGCCACAGGCACCGGCCCCCATACGTTTTAAATAACTTTTTTTTTTTTTTTTATGATTTATTTTGTTTGTTTGAAAGAATTTTAGAAAGGTAGAGGTAGAGAGGTCTTCCATCGCTGGTTCATTCCCCAAATGGCCACAATGCTTTAACTGAGCTGATCCAAAGCCAGGAGCCAGGAGCTGCTTTTGGGTCTCCCACCTAGGTTCAGGGGCCCAAGGACTTGGGCCATCCTCTGCTGCCTTTGAGGTGCATTAGCAGGGAGCTGGCTCAGAAATGGAGCAGCTAGGACTCAAACCAGTGTCCATATAGGATACTGGCGCTGCAGGCCTGGGCTTTAACCCGCTGCTCCACAGTGCTGGCCCCCTCCCCCACTTGCCTTAGCTCTTACACATATCTAGAACTAAAATTCACCTCCTACCTTTAGTGTGTTAACAGCACCTAAACGGATGTTCATCATATGTCAGATTTTGTTTATTCCCTTCATTCAGTAGTCCTAGAGGCACAAAAATGACCCAGTGATACTAAATTTTTCTCCTTCATTTGTATACTGGTCAACTAACATAGATCAGTATTCTAGGAAAGAAAGATTTTTGCTGACAGAAGTGTTTTCCCTTACCCCCACTCTGGAAACTGATAATACGGTATACTAAGGGTTAACTTAACTTTTTAATATGTTTTTCTCTTGCAGACTCCGTTAATAATATACCTCTTTCATTTCCTAATTGATTATGCTGAATTGGTATTCATGGTAAGTAACCTCCCACATAAAATTGTTATGTATTTATTTCTCACTTCAAATTTTCTTATTTTTAAGAAAACTGTCTTGGAACTTTTTCAGGGGGCTGGCGTTGTGGTGTAGAGGGTTAAGCCTCTGCCTGCAGCACTGGCATCCCATATAGGCCCCTATTTAAGTCTGATCTGCTCCACTTAAAATCCATTTCCTTGCTAATGTGCCTGGGAGAGCAGCAGCAGATGGTCCAAGTACTTGGACCCCTGCACCCACGTGGAGGACCTGGAAGAAGTTCTTGTCTCCTGGCTTTGACCTGGCCCAGCCCTGGCTATTGTGGCCATTTGGGGAATGAACCAGCAGATAGAATATCTCTTCCCTTCTCTTTCTCTCTCTCTCTCTCTGTCTCTGTTTCTCTGCCTTTCAAATAAATTAATTAAAAAATAAAAGTTTTTCAGAAAACAAAAACACACAGGTATATATATCTTTTTAAAAATTTTTATTTATTTATTTGAAAGAGAGAGAGGGAGAGACAGAAATCTTCCATTTGCTGGTTTACTCTTCAAATGGCTGCCATGGCTGGAGCTGGGCTGGTGAGAAGCCAGGAGCCAGAAGCTGCTTCTGGTTTTCCTTTATAGGTGCAGGGGCTCAAGGACTTGGGACATCCTCCTCACGTCCTCCTCTGCTTTCCCCAGGCGCATTAGTAATGAGCTGGATCTACAATAGAACAGCTGGGTCCAATTGGTGCCCACATGGAATGTGGCAGCTTTACCTGCTACTCCACAGTGCCGGTCTGTCTGTCTGTCTGTCTCTCTATATATACATACACACACACACACACATATAAAATCTTAATTTTTTTAAATGCAGACAGACATATACACAGAAAGAGAGAATGAATAGCCTGCCCTCTGGTTCACTCCCTAAATGTGCACAATATTTATAGCTGGGCCAGGCATAAACCAAGAGCTGGGAACTCAGTCTGGATCTCCCATGTGTGTGGCAGAGATCCAGCCACTTGAGCCAGATGAAAGCTGCCCCTGTGGTGCACATTAACAAGAAGCTAGAATCAGGAGTGGAGCCAGACATAAATCCAGGCACTCCAATATGGGATGCAGGTGTCCCAGCCTATGTCTTAACTGCTACACAAAACATCCTCCATAAAAACTTACATTTGAATTCATGGAATTGTGGCTGTATTATGGAAGTGTGAAGTATAATCTCTGACATCTGAACAGTTCTAATTCTTTATTCTTTTTAGAATTTGATTTTTGGATTGTATTTGTAGTCTTGAATTTTTTAACTCCCAGATTTTATGATTGACTTTAATTTGTGATGCCAGTGTGAAAGGCATCCTGCATTTCCTAAGCATTCTGCCTAGAGGTTCTGTAAGTCGTTTTCTGAGGACGGAGGCCTAGAGGATTTTATGAGTTCAGCAATTGGAACATTCAAAATTGAGATGACAGGGCTATGGTTTGAAAGCATAGCAATTTAAAACACTTGTCTAGCTAAGTATTTACTGTGTGCAACGCATTTGACATATATTCAAGCCTGACCGGAAGAGTTAGGTGCTCGGTAGTCCCTCACCATCCTGAAACTCCAGGCCCCGATAGTATTCTGTTACTTCTGCACTAATTGGATTCTGTTTTGTATTCCCTTTTTCTTGACAGATAACTGATGCACTCACTGCTATTGCCTTGTATTTTGCAATCCAGGACTTCAATAAAGTTGTGGTAAGTGGTAGGAGTGAAGCTTCTGGCCTGTTCAGCCAGCTCTGGAAAGACAAACCCAAATCTACAAGACAGCTTTGTTAATAGATGTGGATGGACAGTTTAATCAGTGTGTCTTCTTAATAAATATTTATGTCCACACACCCAAGGATGTTCACACTTTCTGGGACAGAATCGAATGTTGGTTATATGAGGACCCTTACAAATTTCCCTTTTCACAAGTTTTTCTTTTCACAGGAAAATGAATACACCTTTTAATCACTGTGTTAGGCTTATCTGAGATAAAATTGCGTTTCCAGTGTTCTATTTCCTGCAGAGTAATCAGAATTGGAAAAAATTTTAAATGATGCTTTTTTTAAGTTTGTTTGTTTATTTATTTGAGAGGTAGAGTTACAGAGAGGAGGAGATACAGAGAGAAAGGTCTTCCATCTGCTGGTTTACTCCCCAAATTGCTGCAACAACCAGAACTGGGCTGATCCAAAGCCAGGACCCAGGAGCTTCTTCCAGGTCTCCCACACAGGTGCAGAGGCCCGAGCACTTGGACTATCTTCCACTGCTTTTCCAGGCCGTTAAGCAGAGAGCTGGATCAAAAGAGGAGCAGCTGGACACAAACTGACACCTGTATGGGATGCTGGCACTGCAGGCGGAGGCTTAGCCTACTGTGCCACAGCACTGGCTCCTGCTTCTTTTAAGATTTATTTGAAAGGCAGACTTACACATAGATCTTCCATCCACTGATTCACGCCCCAAATGACCACAATGGCAGGAGCTGGGCCAGGCAGAAGACAGGAGCCAAGAGCCAGGAACTTCATCTGTGTCTCCTATATGGATGCAGGGGCCCACTATGGAGTGCCAGCATTGTAGGCAGCAGCTTAACCCATTATGGCACAATACAGGCCCCCAGAATTGGAAAATTTAACGTATATTAAATCCCTGTTGAAAGTATTGATACAAACTTTAGTCTTAAGCCAAGGGAATTGCATAGTAGAGCTGATCTCCTTTTCTTGGGTTCTTAGTTAACAGAATAATCACATGTGCTAGCCATGTAGTTACCAAAAAAAAAAAAAAAAAGGCAAAGCTCCAGTCCTCCTTGGTTGTCTGGGAACCATTGAGTTTTTGGACTAGTTTAAGATAAAGCTGCATCTTACTAGTGGTATCTGTCTGTGGTTCATTTTTACTTCTGTTACCAAGTTACAGAACCAGAATCAGCAGAATGGCTTTCTGTGCACTGGTCATCAGTAACAAATAAAGCTGACAAAGTCTAGTATTTTAGATCTCAGATTTTTAAAATATCTAGACTAAGGGCTCGAATGGGTCTGTAAAATCCTTGAAATAAATAAATACATCTCATAAAAAAAGATTCAATTTATTTATTTGAAAGGCAGTGTTTGGCAGAGACAGAAAGATTTTCTATCTGCTGGTTTACTCCCCAAATGGCTGCAACAGCCAGGGCTGAGCCAGGCTGAAGCCAGGAGTCTGGAACTTCATCTGGTACTTCCATGTGAGTGGTAGGGGCCCAAGCACCTGTGCCATCCTCTGTTGCTTTCTCGGGCACATTAGCAGGGAGCTGATCATAAGTGGAGAAGCTAGGACTTGAGCTGGTACTCATATAGGATGCTGGTGTCACAAGCAGTGGCTTAACGTGCTGTGCCACAATGCTGGCCCCCAAACCAGTCTTTATTTGAAGTTGCAAATGCTACAGTATAAGGGATGAAGTGTCATGATATTTGCAGCTTACTACCAAATGATTTTGCAAGACTTTTTCTTTTTTTGTTGTTGTTGTTGTTGTTGTTTTTTGACAGGCAGAGTGGACAGTGAGAGAGAGAGAGACAGAGAGAAAGGTCTTCTTTTGCCGTTGGTTCACCCTCCAATGGCAGGAGCCAGGTGCTTTTCCTGTTCTCCCATGGGGTGCAGGGCCCAAGCACCTGGGCCATCCTCCACTGCACTCCCACACAGCAGAGAGCTGGCCTGGAAGAGAGGCAACCGGGACAGAATCCGGCGCCCCGACCGGGACTAGAACCCGGTGTGCCGGCGCCGCTAGGCGGAGGATTAGCCTAGTGAGCCGCGGCGCCGGCCAAGACTTTTTCTAATGATTGAAGCTGTGTCTATACCCATTTGTACATCTCAGATTTGCAAAAATAAATCTTCCAAGGAACAAGGAGATGGCATTTAGGGGAGTAGGTAAAAGGAAGACTCAACTCTGCAGATTTTTTTAGCTAAAAATTTTTGTTGAAATATGCATGTGGAAAAGCATACCATCTATGTACAAGCTAATATCACAGAGGTAACACATCCAGGTGACCACCCTTCAGGTCACTTTTAACCTCTCCTGTGATTGCCTTAAATTTTATTATTGTCAAGATTGCTGAATACTTAAAAATATATTTATGTTTAGATTTTAAACTATATTCTTTTTTAAAAGATTTTATTTATTTATTTGACAGTTATAGACAGAGAGACGGAGAGAAAGGTCTTCCTCCATTGGTTCAATCCCCAAATGGCAGTAACGGCCAGAGATGCGCTGATCCGAAGCCAGGAGCCAGGTGCTTCTCACTGGTCTCCCACGCAGGTGCAAGGGCCCAAGCACCTGGGCCATCCTGTACTGCTATCCCAGGCCACAGCAGAGGGTTGGACTGGAAGAGCAGCAGCCAGGACTAGAACTGGCGCCCATATGGGATGCCGGCGCCAGAGGCAGAGGATTAACCCAGTGCGCCACAGCGTTGGCCCCTTAAACTATATTTTTTTAACCTCATTGATTGCTGTCCTTCTAATGTTTTCTTGGTGTGCCTGTGTTTATAATTGAAATTTTTATTTCCCTAGAATTTTAATCATTTACCTGTCTCTAGCTAGAAGCAATGGAGGTTGTCTAAAGGGATTTTGCTTATGCTTAGGGTTGCTGATGCTGGGCCTCTAAGGCCAGCCGTACTGAGAGGTAGGAGAGAATGTGGGGACTGCTAGCCTGACTGCCTTTCCCTCCTGTACACTCTCTTTCTGTTTTAAACCATCTGAGAAGATTGTGATTACAAGGACGATCTTTTCTCCCATTGCTGGCACAGTGTCACCTTTGCCAGTGTCTACACATCCCTGGCACTTGCAGCCATCACTCAGCGCAGCCCTGCTGGCTTCCTTCCAGCCCAGAGAACGGGATTTGCGTTCCCACCTGTCTCTCTGGCTGCCCCTGGATGGGCTCCCTGTTTCCTTCTAACAGCCTTCTTTGTGGATCTCACCCCCTCCAGGAGGCCTCCTTTTTTCTGCAGAACTCAGATCTCTAAGCTCATGGGACCTCCTTCCTTCCTCCTGCCATCGCTGCAGCTGTCCTCACTAAGTGCTTTGATTGCTCAGTAAGCTCCCTTCTCTCTGATAAAAGCACCTTAGTTATATTTTGTCCTTTTAATTAAACAGCCCCAGCTGTGAGTGGCACCATCGGTCTTACTGATGATGATCCCCACCACTTAATTTGGAATCTGCCAACTGTGTGAAGAGTGGACTAATAACCAAAGGGAGGTTTTAAGTTTTATTTCAGGTTTTCTAAGTCTGTACTAAATTTCTTGTGTAGACAAGAAATCTGGGGTTACCTGTATTCCTATGGTGACTTCTTGATTTTCTTTTAAAATGGAAGATGCTCTTCTAAAAAATTTTTTTCTCAAATACCCAAGACACGCAAAAATGAAAATTAATACAAACTTGTGAACCTATTTTCAGCTTGAAAACAATTACACATGCAGTTGCCTCTGTTAATCTTTTATCTTCTTATCCTCCCTCCCTCCAGTAATCACTGTTCTGAATTTAGTGGTTATCATTCCCACACACATGACCCTTTTACTACATTTGTAAACAGCTCTAAATACAGTACTATTTCACTTTTAACTTTATGTAAATAGCACAATGCAACATATGTTCTGTTGTGACCTTTCATCATTAAACCTTTAATCATACACAGATACTTAAATGCTTAACTATTTTTTAAAAGATTTATTTATTTATTTGAAAGGCAGAGTTACAGAGAGGCAGAGGCAGAGAGACTTTCATCCACTGGTTCACTCCCCAGATGGCCACAGTAGCCAGAACTGGCCTGATCCAAAGCCAGGAACTTCTTCCAGATCTCCCATGTAGGTGCAGGGGCCCAAGGACTTGGGTCATCTACTGCTTTCCCAGGCCATAGCAGAGAGCTGGATTGGAAGTGGAGCAGCCGGAACTCCAGCCAGCTCCCATATGGGGTGGAGGCTTTACCCACTACACCATAGCACTGGCCTCAAGTGTTTAACTATTTTGGCTCCTCAGAAATATTCTGTTTTCTAGTAGGCTGCTGGGGTGATTTTTTTAAAAGATTTATTTATTTATTTGAAAAATATCAGAGAGAAAGGAGAGACAGAAATCCTCCATCGTTTATTTGCTCCCTAGATGGGTGCAGTGGCCAGGGCTGGGCTGCACCAAAGCCAGGAGCCAGGACCTTCCTGCAGGTCTCCCACTGGAGAGAAGGGGCTCAAGGACTTGGACCATCTTCTGCTGCTTTCCCAGGCACTTTAGCAGGGAGCTGGATCAGAAACAGAGCAGCTGGGATTAAACTGGTGCCTCTATGGGATGCCGGCATTGCAGACGGTGGCTTAACCCCACTGCGCCACAGCACTGGCCCCTGCAGGGTTGATTTTATACTAAGATTCTTTGATCTTTGAACCAGCAGGGCTACCCATTTTGGGTTCTGATGCTTTTTCCATCTGACTTCTGATACATGCTTGCTGTAAGGTTGCCTGCCTTTTCTTCGTTCAGGAGCATACTGATGAACTTGTAGGGGCATACCAGGGGAAGGCGAGAGCTAACCTCCGCCCCTGCCCTGCCCCCCACCCCACTCCCTCTACCATCCAGCTGTCCAGCCACCTCAGCTCTCATTCTCTTCACTATGGCCATTCTACACCTTCCTCTGTGGAAGGAAAACATGGCTTCAAACAAGAGAAGGGAGAACACCCAAGATAGTGTGACATTTATGATTATTCACCTTGCTTGAAAATATTCCCTGCCCTCATGGAACTTGTAGTCTAGTGAGGGAAGCAGGCATTAGTTACACAAATAAATAGAAAAGTTGTAACTGTGAACAGTACTATGGAAGAATGTATAATCAGAGAATAAGGAAAAATGTGCCTTCCTGAGAAAGTGATGATTAATTGAGATCTAAACAATGTGTGAGGGGCCGGTGCTGTGATATAGCAGGTAAAGCCGCAACCTGCAGTGCTGGCACCCTATATGGTTGCCGGTTCGAGTCCCAGCTGCTTGACTTCCAATCCTGCTCCCTGCCAGTGTAGCAGAAGATGGCCCAAGTGCTTGGGCCCTTGTACCCATGTGGGAGGCTCGGAGGAGGATCCTGGCTCCTGGCTTCAGATCAGCTCAGTTCTGGCTGTTGTGGCCATTTGAGGAGTGAACCAGTAGATGGAAGACCTCTCTCTCTCTCTCTACCTCTGTCTCTCTGTAACTCTGCCTTTCAAATAAATTAAAAAAAAAAAAAAAAAAAGACTGTGAGAGTTAATCAGGGAAAGAGATTATTCCAGGTTGGGTGCAAAGGCCTGCGAGCAGGAGTGTGTGCTGGCATGTTCACGGCGCTGGAACCTAGAAAGTGGGAGGTGGAGGGAGCAAGAGTGAGACAGGCTTGGAATGGGGTACAGTCAGATTAGGCAGGGCTGTGTGGGCCCCCACAGGGACTTGTCAGCATCCTAAAGGAAATGGGAAGTAAGTTTTACGTTTTGTCACTTTTTTTTCCAGTTTAAAAAGCAGAAACTCCTCCTAGAACTGGACCAGTATGCCCCAGATGTGGCTGAACTCATCCGGACCCCTATGGAAATGCGTTATATCCCTCTGAAAGTGGCCCTGTTGTAAGTATTTCCTGGCATATCTGGGCTCAGTGCCAATGAATGCGAGGAAAATCTGATGAGACTTTCCCATGTTGTTTGTTGTATTTTTGGAGATTTGCAGTCTTAGTCATCAAGTATTTGCTGTAGTTCAGTTGCACAACTGGGGTTCTAGCCAGCGAAAGAGACAGAGCCATCCTGTCTGTGTTGGGACAAAGACTCACACAGGGACATGCACAATCAAACCCTTCACAAATGCTTTTTGACTCAGTGCTGACTTAGGCTCCAGCCTCTTTGTAACCAGTGTTTCTTAAAAAAAAAGTTCTTCCATTGTAATATATAGATTGAATAAAATTCTACTCTTTATGTGGCTGTTACGTGGAGCTTGTATGATTGGCATACAGTTTAGTCCTCCATTTGTAGTTCAGAAAACAGAAGTGGCAAACAGACCCATCCTTAGCTGGGTGGCCAGTGTGGAGGAGTGGAACTTACTGAGGCATTATGAAAGAATTCTTTAGGAGTACCCAGTGCTGTCAATAAGTTTAATTCTTTCAGGTTTTTCCTGTTTCTGTTCCTGAGATAGGCAAATGTGAGTAATTGTTCCGTCAACTGATAGTCACTGAATATTAAAATGTGTTAGTTTCTAGGGATACCAAGTGAGCAAGACAGACAAGTTTCCTCATGGAAAAACATGCCCTTCAAACTTCAGAATTAGAGGGGGCTCTATGAGGAGAGTTTTTTTTTCAACCCTCTGCCTTGTGTGTGACTTTCCTGTTTATTTTTTTCACATGAATGTCAGTGCAGCTGCTTCTTAAATATCACCATTATTTATAAGTGGCTTTTTTTCCCCACCAATTTTGAGATATCAGTTTGCATCTTTGTATTTCAGAAATACTGGTGGAAGCTACCTTAATAAGAGTCGAGGTTTAGCAATATTATGAATTAATTATGGACTTTTATGTTTCCTGGGGGGTAGTTTTGTAATAGTAACAGCCATTTCTTAAAAGGTTGTGCAACAAGCATATCTGTAATTGTTGAAAAAAAAAACAAAACAATTATAGGCCTTTGGCTTTAGAACTGCTAATCTTACAGTCCTGGGAGGTATTAGATTTAAGTTATTTATTTGTGAATAATAATTCTGATCTTTCTCTGAGACACTGGTATGTCTCTTCCCATTTGATAATCAGAATTATGTAACTGGTCTCCCTTTTCACTTTGTCTGCCGGGAAACTCAGAAGCAGATTTGAAACTGATTATTGCAGTGCTGTAGAAGATCCGTTTGGTCTTCTTTCCTTGCCTTTACTTTCTCCTTTTATTTTTATTTTCCCTGCTCTTGATTATTTTTACTTTGCTATTTTTAAAATCTGTTCCCTTCCTCAAATCCTTTGTGGAAGCAGTATCGAAATAAATACAAATAATAATCCATTATGACTATATAAGATTTCACTACCCACAAGTATATCAAATTCATTTTCTCAGTCTATTCTTTGCTACCTCAGGAGAAGACCAAGGGTTTGGCTTTACTCCCAGTGGAAGGTCAACATGTCCTGTGAAGTTCTATGGCAGCTGGCTTGTTGAATTCAGTAAAATACTTACTCAGTCCTTGGGGTGTGGCTCAGTGGATTCTGCTTGCCTCTCAAAAGAGCTAAATCCAATATGCTTTTATAGGTGGCTCTTTTCAGAGCCCGAACTCTTGACTGAGGAAAAACAGCTTTCCGAGACAGCTGTGGGAATTGGCAGATTTTTGCTATTTTTGAAATCTGAAGCAGTAGAAAAAACATTGGCAGTATAGCCAGAGCTGATTTTGAGTCAGTTTACTGTCTTGTGAGTCCTCTGGCTAGCAACTTAACCACCAAGTCTTAGTTTCCTCATCTGCAAAACTGGAATGATATTATTGCCGCTTTACAGAATCTCTCTGATGTTTACGTATTGTTTTTCATATACCGCTTGACACAGAATAGACACTGTTCAATACCGTTTACTCATTGAACCCAGTCCCCACTCCATTCTCTTTGATTTGGGAGATTTCTAAGGAGTTGTCTTGTTTTGAGTATGTTTTTAGTAAACCTCTTGAACTTCCTGGCTGTAGTGGCGAGACTCCCTGGTCCGTTGACCAGGATTACTAATGCTAAATATGTGTGTTCTTCCCCAGCTATCTCTTAAATCCCTACACGGTCTTGTCTTGCGTTGCCAAGTCTACCTGTGCCATCAACAACACCCTCATTGCTCTCTTCATTTTGACAACAATAAAAGGTAAGGCTCTAAAGGAGAGGATGAAGCTCAGTCCCTGATGTTGTAGCCTTTTTTTTTTTTTTGATGCAACACCTAAAAATATTTTTAAAAATTATCCAAGTAGTAAATACAATAAAAATTTAGATAAACAAGAAGAAAACAAATTAAGATGTCCTGACCATCTACCACTTAAGTAGTTTTAACATAGTTTAACATAGTTTTTAAAAATGGTTCTAGAAGGCTTATAATGAGAATAGCAATCTTCTGCTTCTCTCTTCCCGCCTTTGGTTAACTTCATCAAAACAGCTACCTTCTGACTTTTGCTAATATCTGTGTCTGTATTTCTAATTTAGTCTTTATATTGTTATTTCATGAATTGTGATTTGTAGACATTACTTATTGCATTCCCATTATGGGCATTAAATATTTAGCTCTTTTATACCAATATCCCCACTTCCTCCTTACCTTCCTTTCTTGTTGTAGTTACATATCAGTCAGTATTCAAAAATCTGTATTTTATGATACTGTATGTATTATTGACTGGTAGGCAAGATACTATGATTACTTTTTATTTCTTATATGATCTTTTTTTCTGGGATTTATTGTTTATTTGTGGGTTATTGTTTTGTTCTTGCTCTTTTTTCCCCCGAGTTATTCCTAGATCTGTCAAGTATCTTAAAAAAAACTTTTTTTTTTTTTTTGACAGGCAGAGATAGACATAGAGACAGAGAGAAAGGTCTTCCCTCCATTGGTTCACCTCCCAAATAGCTGATACGGCCGGCGTGCTGCGCCGATCCGAAGCCAGGAGCCAGGTGCTTCCTCCTGGTCTCCCATGCGGGTGCAGGGCCCAAGCACTTGGGTCATCCTCCACTGCCTTCCCGGGCCACAGCAGAGAGCTGGACTGGAAGAGGAGCAACCAGGACAGAATCTGGCGCCCCAACCAGAACTAGAACCCGGGGTGCCGGCGCTGCAGGTGGAGGATTAGCCTAGTGAGCTGCGGCACTGGCCTGAAAAAAACTTTTAATGTGTAAATACATCAAATATAGTCTGTGTTGATTTCATTATTTTTCTAGAGACCTCCCTCACATATCATTTACTGTCCTCATTGTTCTCTGGGCCTAGTGCAAAGCTGTCATACTGGATTGTTTTTTGTAATTCTCCTTTGTTGTGTCCCTTCTTTCCTGGATGGATTACTTCTGTCATTTATTGATTTTTCTGCTCTTTTGTGCAGAATTACTGTCTCTAGTAGGTTTTTTTTTTTTTTTTAAAGATTTGCTCATTTTATTTGAAAGTTGAGTTACACAGAGAGAGAAGGAAAGGCAGAGAGAGAGAGCGGTCTTCCATCCACTGGTTCACTCCCCAGATGGCCGCAACAGCTGGAGCTGCGCCAATTTGAAGCCAGGAGCAGGAGCCTCTTCCAGGTCTCCCACGCAGGTGCAGGGGCCCAAAGAGTTAGGCCATCTTCTATTGCTTTCCCAGGCCATAGCAGGGAGCTGGATCAGAAGTGGAGCAGCTGGAACTTGAACCAATGCCCATATGGGATGCCGGCACTGCAGGCGGCAGCTTTAGCTGCTATGCAACAGTGCTGGCTCATGATGGTGTGTCTTTTTTTTTTTAGTTCTCGAAGGTATTCCTGTTCTGTTTTTCAGGTTCTCTCCTTTATGTTTTCTCTGTCTTGTTTGTATGTCTGTTGGATGTTGGACTTTCTTGAATGATCAAATATCCATATTTTATTTTCTGCTGATTTTTTTCCCTGTCAGTTTTACCTAGTCTTTTGCTGGGATATTACCTTGTTTTTATCTTCCAACTCTCCTACCAGATTTTTAAGTTTATTTGTAATATTTAAAATTCTTACTTGATCTTTGTTTCTTTGAAGCATCCTATTTTTATTTTGTTATAATACCCTCTTATGTTTCTGAGTATATATTTTTTCAGTTTCCATCTGTTCCAAACAATTTTTCTTCCTGATCCTTTTCCCCCAACCCCCTTTGTTTTGGGTTCTGTCGTTTATATAGAAGGACTTCCTGTTATGTGTGATGATGGCTGTTTTTAATTTGAGGGTGAGGTGCTCACATGTTAACCTTTTAACAGCAGGGCTTGTTGCTAGGTCATTCTCACTGTAGGGAGATCAGGCAGTGGGCTGGCTTTTTTTAATTGGAAGCATCCTTAAATGTTTTGTCAATCGTTTTTTTTTCCTCTGAAATTATTTGGTTCCTCCAGAGAAGAGCCTTCCAGTTTCCTGTCTAGCAGCAGAGACGCGGGGCTGAGGTGGGGTGGAAAGTACATGCCAGTGGTTATTAGACTTTGAGAACAGGAACTGGGAAGGTGGCTGATTTCAACCTGTGGACTTTCACGTAATTTCATTACTTTTAGCCCATGTTTCTCTCCAGCCCTTCACTGTGCTTTAGTATCTCCTAGACTCTGTCCTCTTTTCAGTTCATGTTCTCCAGAACTGTGGTCTTCTGCAGTTGGAATGGAATGTTAGAGGGTTGGGTTATACGTGAGTCGTCGTCTGACTGCACCTAGTTGGAATGAGGTCTATGATTCTTACTGGTCTGTACACAAACATTTAGCTTGATTTCCATCTCTGAACCGTACCCTCACCTTCCATAATGCCTGATGTCCAGGGGTTGGATTTCTCAAATGTTCTTAGGGATGAGTTGGCCTGAGTTTTATTTGTATTCCACTTGGTTGGCCACTGAGCACTAATTTCTTCCACATTGCTAAGTTATTTATCCCTCTTTTACTTATGTTTTCCATTGTTGTGTTAAAATAATTTTGCTATGGCCTTCGGTTCTTTCTGGTTTAATACTAGTGTTAACTCCCTTACTGTTTGTTTAATGAGATTTTTGGAGGAGAGATAATAAACACATGCTATCTGTCACATATATGGGAGTACTTTAAAACATGCGTGGAAAATGAAGCTAAGAGAGAAGTCTAGGAGCCAGCATTATGCAGTAGGTTAGGCCACTCTCTGTGACACTATGTCCAACATCAGAGTGCTAGTTTGAGTGCTGGCTGCTCTGCTTTCAGTCCAACTCCTTGCTGATGCCCTGGGAAGCAGAAGATGGCCCAACTACTTGGGCCCCTGCCACCCATGTGGGAGACCCAGATTTAGGTCTAGGCTCCTGGCTTTGGCCTGGCCCAGCCCTGGCTATTGTGAACATTTGGAAAATAAACTAGCTGATGGAGGATCTCTGTGTCTTTCTTCTTGTCTCTTTGCCTTTCAAATAATAAATAAACTTTTAAAAATTTTAAAAGTTTAGGTTCTCAGCTCTCAGTTTTGTGCTGAGATGCCTGCCTGTCCTATCAGATGTATTCTCTTCATTAAATTGGTAGCCTTGCTTTACCCCCATTGGAATGGGTGCACTCTCAGATCTGTCTGGAAAGGTGCCATGCATTCTGACAGATGCTCTACCCCATTAAACCTTGCTACTTTAAAAAAAATTATGGTGTGAAAATTCTTTTGAAATCCATACATAGTTTTTTCATTATATATGTTTTTCATAAACTTTTGAAGACCCCTTGTGTTTTTAGATTTTTCCCTCAGATTTTTAAATATTATATTAATAGGCTGACGCCGCGGCTCACTATGCTAATCCTCCGCCTGAGGCGCTGGCACCCCGGGTTCTAGTCCCAGTTGGGGCGCCGGGTCCTGTCCCGGTTGCCCCCCTTCCAGGCCAGCTCTCTGCTGTGGCCCGGAAGTGCAGTGGAGGATGGCCCAAGTGCTTGGGCCCTGCACCCGCATGGGAGACCAGGAGAAGCACCTGGCTCCTGGCTTTGGATTGGCGCAGCATGCCGGCCGCAGCGGCCATTGTGGGGTGAACCAACAGAAAAAAAGGAAGACCTTTCTCTCTGTCTCTCACTTCTAACTCTGCCTGTCAAAAAAATAAATAAAAATAAATAAATAGTATATTAATTAGCTAATGCTACAAAAATGTTCTTTAACAAACTGCACCTAAATTCAGTGACTTAAAAAAGCAACAAGCATTTATTTAGCTTGTGTGTACATCAGCCAGGGGTGGCCTGCTCTAAACCAGTCAGCTGGCTGTTTTCATCAGGGCTCATTCATGCATCGGTGACAGGTTGGAGTTGGCTGATCCAGGCTGGGCTCTGTTCCACATATCTGTCATCCTCCTGGACTAGGGGACTAACTTAAGGCTGATCATCTCATAGGGCTGGCAGAGGCACAGCAGTGAACAAGTCCAGTCAGACAGGCACTTTTAAGTTTCTGGTTAAGTCACATGTTTTAGCATCTGATTAATCAAAACCCAACACAGGAGTGAGTTTTGGCATAGCAGTTAAGATGCTGCTTGATTCGCCCCCATCCCATATGAGAGTGCCTAAATTAGAGTCCTGGCTCCGCTCCTGATTTCAGTTTCTTGTTAATGTATACCTGGAGACAGCAGGTGATGATGGCTCAAGTAGTTGGGTCCCTGCCACCCACATGAGAGAGACCTGCGTTGAATTCCTGGCCCCTGACTCCTGGAGGCTGTTGCAAGTGTTTGGGAACTGAACAAATGAAAGGGCCATGTCTGTCTCTTTCTCTGTCTTTCTCCTGCCCTGTTTCTCTGCTGTTCAAAACACACACTCCACCTGGCAAGTCCAGAGGTAGAGATTTTATCTTATCTGAAATAGAACGGCACTGCAGATTTACATGCTGAAGGGTCTAGATGTAGGGAGGGATGAAGAATTGGGTCCAGGAATATAATCTGCCACACATCAATAAACATCTAGTCTGTTACTTTTTTTAAGGATTTATTTTATTTATTTGAAAGGCAGAGTGACAGAGAGGGAGTGGTCTTTCATCCACTGGTTCACTCCCCAAATAGCTGCAAAAGCCGTAAGTGGGCCAAGCTGAAGTGAGGAGCCTGGAACTCCATCTGATCTCCCACGTTGTTGGCAGGAGCCCAGCCTTTGCTTTGACTGTCTGCACTGCTTTCCCAGTCTCGCTAGCAGGAAGCTAAAGCAGAAGTGGAACAGTTGAGCCTTGAACTGGTGCTGTGATATGGGATGCTGGT